ATGTGTGACTAGAAGCCCATTTCTGGTGTCCCGCGCCGTGATATTGCTGGAATATTGCTAAAAGCGGCGTAAAACCATACTCACTCACACACTCACTCCAATCTGATAATGAAGCTGAGGTGAAATGGGGTTTAATGTCGTGTCCAAGATTATTGCACGTGTGCGTGTGTGTGTGGCTGTTTGTACTAGTCCGGACTAATGCCGATTTTATAGTGCAAGCCCATTGAGATACCATGCTGCACTTTTTCTGATAATGAACCATATGGATAATTATAATTCAGGTTAGAGACATTCTTGTCTCGTGTTTATGGTAGCTTATCTCATAAATTATGGACATGATATGCAAGCTTAGTGTGGCTTTCAGTCAAAACCTTCTTTTTTTAACTCTGTTAAAGAATTAGTCGTATACCAAACTTTATCTTTGCACAGAGGGCAAAGATATGACTCTTTTTGAAGAAAACAAAGACAACAAGTCTCAGACCTTTAGTACAGCCAGAAAAAATAAGTACATGTGATGGGTAAAGCATAGGCTTGTTCAGTGTTGTGTGTTCCTCAGTAGAGTTAGATGCATTAGGAGTATTATGGCAGTAGCTTCCACCAGTGTTATATATTTCCCCTTTCGGCTGAACCCCAGTGAGATTGTGGTGTGTCGTGTCTGTTGTAAATATTCACATTTCCAACATGGCTTCTGCAACCACACAGCCTATAAATACATGGATCATCACAGCAATAGATATGCATACAAGATGCTCACAGAATCCCTATCTGATTTCTAACATGCCGGCGAACATGCTATTTTGCTTTGAAAGACCCATGTATCAGGTAAACCTGGTGAAGCCAGAGTTTTCTGTCTCCTAAACATGATGAATGTGTAATTTTGTGTCTGGTCGAGGCAATGGTGTCAACAAGTTGATCGCCATCATGGCAGTGCCAGCCTTGTTTATAATGTTCTTTAGCCAAACGACATGGGTATCAGAGTATCAATGTGTAATTTATTATAAGACTGCTGTGTAAATGCATTTATGTTGTGGTTTTCTTGATGTCTTTATTGCGAACTCCATTTTATGCTGACCTTGTGTCATCATACCCTCAAACCTCGATGATTGTCGTCACTAGTGCTGTTTCAACCAACCATTTGAGTGATTAATCTGAATTCCTGGTGTTGCTGTAATAATGCTGATTGTTGCAAATAAAATGTTGACGCAGTTGAACCCCATTTGTCCGTACATGGTCATCGAATTAGTATCTGTCACATACTGACACAGATTCCCACCACCTAGTGATTATTTTAAACCCTATCCTGACGTAATCTATACAGGGAGATGATCAGCTTATGTGAAGCTTTCCTGATGGGGAATTTGAAGTTGCATAACAAAGTATTTCTTCAGATAAGTCGCATTGATTTTGAAAGTGGTCATCTGTGTCATTGGTTGCCATGCTTTGTTGTAGTGAAGGTCATTGGTAGACATGCTATGTTGTAGTGATGGTCATCTGTGTCATTGGTAGATGTGCTTTTTTGTATTGATGGTCATCTGTGTCATTGGTAGATGTGCTTTTTTGTATTGATGGTCATCTGTGTCATTGGTAGATGTGCTTTGTTGTAGTGAAGGTCATCTGTGTCATTGGTAAACTTGCTTTGTTGTAGTGAAGGTCATCTGTGTCATTGGTAGACATGCTTTGTTGTAGTGATGGTCATTGATAGATGTGCTCTGTTGTAGTGATGGTCATCTGTGTCATTGGTAGACATGCTTTGTTGTAGTGAGGGTTATCTGTGTCATTGGTTGCCATGCTTTGTTGTAGTGAGGGTCATCTGTGTCATTGGTAGACATGCTTTCTTGTAGTGAGGATCATCTGTGTCATTGTTATCCCCCGCCGCGCGAAAGCGCGAAGCGGGGGATATAGTATTCACGACCGTCCGTACGTCCGTCCGTACGTCCGTACGTCCCACCTGTTTGTTGCCGCGATATCTCAAGAACTAAACACTGGATTGTCTTCATATTTGGAACTATGGTGTATATACAGACTCCGCAGACACCAGTCGGTTTTGGTGACCTTGATCCCATTTTCAAGGTCACAGCAGACAAATCTGCTTTTAGAGTTGGAAAACGGTGTTGCCGCGATATCTCAAGAACTAAACAATGGATTGTCTTCATATTTGGAACTATGGTGTATATACAGACACCGCAGACACCAGTCGGTTTTGGTGACCTTGACCCCATTTTCAAGGTCACAGCAGGCAAATCTGCTTTTGGAGTTGGAAAACGGTGTTGCCGCGATATCTCAAGAACTAAACACTGGATTGTCTTCATATTTGGAACTATAGTGTATATACAGACTCCGCAGACACCAGTCGGTTTTGGTGACCTTGATCCCATTTTCAAGGTCACAGCAGGCAAATCTGCTTTTAGAGTTGGAAAACGGTGTTGCCGCGATATCTCAAGAACTAAACCTCTCGATTGTCTTCATATTTGGAACTATGGTGTATATACAGACACCGCAGACACCAGTCGGTTTTGGTGACCTTGACCCCATTTTCAAGGTCACAGCAGGCAAATCTGCTTTTAGAGTTGGAAAACGGTGTTGCCACAATATCTCAAGAACTAATCGCTGGATTGTCTTCATATTTGGAACTATAGTGTATATACAGACACCGCATACACCTGTCAGATTTGGTGACCTTGACCCCATTTTCAAGGTCACAGCAGGCAAATCTGTTTTTGGAGTTGGAAAACGGTGTTGCCACAATATCTCAAGAACTAATCGCTGGATTGTCTTCATATTTGGTACTATGGTGTATATGGCGGGGGATATTTCGTCACTCTGTGACAAATACTTGTTGTAGTGAAGGTCATCTGTGTCATTGGTAGACATGCTTTGTTGTAGTGATGGTCATTGATAGATGTGCTCTGTTGTAGTGATGGTCATCTGTATCATTGGTAGACATGCTTTGTTGTAGTGAGGGTTATCTGTGTCATTGGTTGCCATGCTTTGTTGTAGTGAGGGTCATCTGTGTCATTGGTAGACATGCTTTCTTGTAGTGAGGATCATCTGTGTCATTGGTAGACATGCTTTGTTGTAGTGAAGGTCATCTGTGTCATTGGTAGATGTGCTTTGTTGTAGTGATGGTCATCTGTGTCATTGGTAGATGTGCTCTGTTGTAGTGATGGTCATCTGTGTCATTGGTAGATGTGCTTTGTTGTAGTGAAGGTCATCTGTGTCATTGGTAGACATGCTTTGTTGTAGTGATGGTCATCTGTGTCATTGGTAGACATGCTTTGTTGTAGTGAAGGTCATCTGTGTCATTGGTAGATGTGCTTTGTTGTAGTGAAGGTCATCTGTGTCATTGGTAAACATGCTTTGTTGTAGTGAAGGTCATCTGTGTCATTGGTAGACATGCTTTGTTGTAGTGATGGTCATTGATAGATGTGCTCTGTTGTAGTGATGGTCATCTGTGTCATTGGTAGACATGCTTTGTTGTAGTGAGGGTTATCTGTGTCATTGGTTGCCATGCTTTGTTGTAGTGAGGGTCATCTGTGTCATTGGTAGACATGCTTTCTTGTAGTGAGGATCATCTGTGTCATTGGTAGACATGCTTTGTTGTAGTGAAGGTCATCTGTGTCATTGGTTGCTATGCTTTGTTGTAGTGAGGGTCATCTGTGTCATTGGTAGACATGCTTTCTTGTAGTGAGGATCATCTGTGTCATTGGTAGACATGCTTTCTTGTAGTGAGGATCATCTGTGTCATTGGTAGACATGCTTTGTTGTAGTGAAGGTCATCTGTGTCATTGGTAGACATGCTTTGTTGTAGTGAAGGTCATCTGTGTCATTGGTAGACATGCTTTGTTGTAGTGAAGGTCATCTGTGTCATTGGTTGCCATGCTTTGTTGTAGTGATGGTCATCTGTGTCATTGGTAGATGTGCTTTGTTGTAGTGAGGGTCATCTGTGTCATTGGTAGATGTGCTCTGTTGTAGTGATGGTCATCTGTGTCATTGGTAGATGTGCTTTGTTGTAGTGAAGGTCATCTGTGTCATTGGTAGACATGCTTTGTTGTAGTGAAGGTCATCTGTGTCATTGGTAGACATGCTTTGTTGTAGTGAAGGTCATCTGTGTCATTGGTAGACATGCTTTGTTGTAGTGAAGGTCATCTGTGTCATTGGTAGACATGTTTTGTTGTAGTGAAGGTCATCTGTGTCATTGGCAGACATGCTTTGTTGTAGTGAAGGTCACCTGTGTCATTGGCAGACATGTTTTGTTGTAGTGAAGGTCATCTGTGTCATTGGTAGACATGCTTTGTTGTAGTGAAGGTCATCTGTGTCATTGGTGGACATGCTTTGTTGTAGTGAAGGTCATCTGTATCATTGGTAGACATGCTTTGTTGTAGTGAAGGTCATCTGTGTCATTGGTAGACATGCTTTGTTGTAGTGAAGGTCATCTTTGTCATTGGTAGACAGGCTTTGTTGTAGTGATGGTCATCTGTGTCATTGGTAGACATGCTTTGTTGTAGTGAGGGTCATCTGTGTCATTGGTAGACATGCTTTGTTGTAGTGATGGTCATCTGTGTCATTGGTAGACATGCTTTGTTGTAGTGAGGGTCATCTGTGTCATTGGTAGACATGCTTTGTTGTAGTGAAGGTCATCTGGTTCATTGGTAGACATGCTTTGTTGTAGTGAAGGTCATCTGTGTCATTGGTAAACATGCTCCGTTGTAGTGATTGTCATCTGTGTCATTGGTAGACACTTTGATTAAAAACATGAAAAAAAATGTATCTGTCATTACGCGATTTTGATTGGACAGCCAATGTGTAACAGTCTAGTTCTGCAAGGGTGGAAACAGGACTTTTATGGTCAGTTATCGCCCTTGCCATTGGAAGATGGGAACCCGGGTTTTTTTTAGCACTGCTTTACGCAACATTTTGTGAATGTATTGTAGAAATGAACAGGTTTATGAACCATCATAAAGTCGTACAATCCACAAAATTCATATGCTTGGTGTTTGCAGAGAGTCTGTGACTCTTCTCCTTCAAAATGAGGCTCTGGTCAACGCCACTGACGAACGAGGATGCACTCCCCTTCACTTGGCATCATGGAGTGGACGTTCAGATATCTGCACATTGCTCCTGCAGCCCTCCGCCATACCCGCTCAGATCAACGCACAAGTAAGTATAAGACACTATACCCGCTCAGATCAACACACAAGTAAGTATATGGACACTATACCCGCTCAGATCAACGCACAAGTAAGTATATGGACACTGTACCCGCTCAGATCAACACACAAGTAAGTATAGGGACACTATACCCGTTCACATCAATGCCCAAGTAAGTATAGGGGACACTGTACCCGCTCAGATCAACGCCCAAGTAAGTATAGGGACACTATACCTGCTCAGATCAACGCCCAAGTAAGTATAGGGACACTATACCTGCTCAGATGAACGCACAAGTAAGTATTGGGACACTATACCCGCTCAGATCAACGCACAAGTAAGTATAGGGACACAATACCCGCTCAGATCAACGCACAAGTAAGTATATGGACACTATACCCGCTCAGATCAACGCACAAGTAAGTATAGGGACACTGTACCCGCTCAGATCAACGCACAAGTAAGTATAGGGACACTATACCCGCTCAGATCAACGCACAAGTAAGTATAAGACACTATACCCGCTCAGATCAACACACAAGTAAGTATAGCGACACTATACCCGCTCAGATCAACGCACAAGTAAGTATAGGGACACTATACCCGCTCAGATCAACGCACAAGTAAGTATAGGGACACTATACACGCTCAGATCAACACACAAGTAAGTATAGGGACACTATACCCGCTCAGATCAACGCACAAGTAAGTATAGGGACACTATACCTGCTCAGATCAACGCACAAGTAAGTATAGGGACACTATACCCGCTCAGATCAACGCACAAGTAAGTATAAGACACTATACCCGCTCAGATCAACGCACAAGTAAGTATAGGGACACTATACCCGCTCAGATCAACGCACAAGTAAGTATAGGGACACTATACCCGCTCAGATCAACGCACAAGTAAGTATAGGGACACTATACCCGCTCAGATCAACGCACAAGTAAGTATAGGGACACTATACCCGCTCAGATCAACGCACAAGTAAGTATAGGGACAGTATAGAGACACTATACCCAAACACCAGGCAGGGTAACATGTATCATCTTTTAACATCTTTTGGTGTGACGCGGCTGGAGATCGAACCCACAACCTTCTGCTCTCTGTGCAGACACGTTTTTAGGTAATTTGGTCTGTAGAGTACCGGAGAAAGCCACAGATTTATCATGGATTATCGAGGTAAGTGCCTGGGGCAGGCTATTTGAAAATTAATTCGCCTAGATTATCTTCTGGAAGTGCTGAGGCTGAGATTTCAATAGTATTTTATTACCTCCCCGGCATATAATGCGGGGGGTATAGCGATCAGCCAGTCTGTCCGTCCGTCTGTCTGTTATCATTTCTTTTTCCGGAGCAGAACTCGAAAACCATTCAGTGTATTTGATCGAAACGTGGCAAATCTATCAGTCACATACTGAAGTGGTGCCTTTTGCTATTTAGGAATTTTAGAAATTTGTATTTTTTACTTTTCAATGGCAACAAGTTGGACTTAGGTTCTATAAGAATGGTGTTCGTTTCCGGAGCATAACTCAAAAAAACGTTAAATACTCTTTTACAAAACTTTGCATTCTACCAGGCACATACTGAACTGGTGCCTTTTGATATTTAGCACTTTTAGAAATTTTTATTTTTTACATTTCCATGGCAACAAGTTGGATTTAAGTTTTAATATAGGGTGGGTTCACTTATGGAGTATAACAAATAAACTGTTAAATATTTCCTTGCCAAACATTGCATGTCTATATATAAAGCACATACTGAACTGGTGCCATTTGATATTAAGGAGTTTTATAAATGATTATTTTAGAATTTCCACTGCAGCTATTTTGACATGGGCTAAGAGAAATGTTGGGTCAGTTACCTTGTTTGGGACCATAACGTGTTAAAATGGGCGGGGCATATAGATGACTTCTATAGCGAGTCACGGTGCCTTAGACGACTGGGACACCCGAACCCACAGATAAATAGGAGAAGTCATGCATTCACAGGAGTTTTTTCCATATTTGAGTTGTGTCTTCTGCAATTTCAGCCCAGTTCAAAGATGTGATGTTTTTCCGGGTGGTATGCTCAATTTGTTTTTAGATTGCAGTTTTAACAGCTGGGTTTTGCTTATTTTCTAAGTCTCTATTTGAGTGTGTTTTAAATATCTTTTTCAAAGTTAACCATCTTTAGTTATATTGTCCGTATTAATGATTATTGTCAACATAAATATTCATCTTTATGGAATATTTTATTTTTCATATGAATTTTTCATTAACTGGAAAGGTACTCTCCCAAACACCACCCACCCCTTACTAATGTCACTCTTGTGGGCAAGGATCCTTTGTTGTGGATTATTATATCCTTTATTGTGGATTATTATATCCTTTATTGTGGATTATTATATCCTTTATTGTGGATTATTATATCCTTTATTGTAGTTGCTTCATATGTAGCAGGGCGGTCGGGTAGCCTAGTGGTTAAAGCGTTCGCTCGTCACGCCGAAGACCCGGGTTCGATTCCCGACATGGGTACAATGTGTGAAGCCCATTTCTGGTGTCCCCCGCCGTGATATTGCTGGAATATTGCTAAAAGCGGCGTAAAACCATATTCACTCACTCACTCATATGTAGCAGAAAGCTTTTGTTTTCACATTATGAAGTAATTATGTGACATAATTGTGGAAAGCCACAGTGAGGATTGGGGCCAGGCTCATACCCCATCGACCCGTGAAGATCCGGGGTAGATCAGGTCTTCAGCAACCCATGCTTGCTGTAAAAAGCTACTATGCTTGTCGTAACAGGCAATTAATGGGATTGGGTGGTCAGACTCACTGACTTGATTAATGTTTGTCATCCCAATTGCATGGATCGATGCTCATGATGTCAATCACTTGATTGTCTGGTCCAGACTTGATTATTTACAGACCACCGTCATATAGCTGGAATATTGCTGAGTGCGGTGTTAAACAAACAAACAAACAAAATCATACCAAATCATACCCTCACAAACAAATGAATATTTACTGTTTATCTGTGAACTTCCTGAATGATTTGTGTCCTGGTTGTGTGGGAGTAATTTATCATGATGATTAAACATTTACAATCCATCAAGATTATGGATCTGTAGGGTATGACTCCAATAATTACCTTACTGAATAATTACCACATTTTATGAAACTTGTGAAATGTCAGACTTGTTTTTGTGTGATATGACCTTTATGTCTTTATCATAGTTTAGGGGGCACGGGTGGCCCAGTCGTCTAAGGCGCCGCGATTCGCTGTGCAGAGTTGCGTCCCCTGGACACGCCAGAAACCTATGATTGTGGGTTCGAATCCCGGTTCACCCCGATTATGTTTCTAGGTTTGTCAGCACCATACCCGTGCTCGTAGGTTTCACCGAAGTGGTAAACGTCTGAACCTGCATCACTTCGGGCTTTCCTCCCACATTAAGCTGACACGCCGTGATATAACTGGAACAATGTTAAAAGCGGCGTTAAATCCAACTCACTCACAATTATCATAGTTTAGGTCTGATATATAAGTATATTGTCTCAGTGAGTTGAATTTTGTATAATTTCAGAACAGCGATGGTGAGACCCCACTCCATTGCGCTGCTCAACATGGCCACTGTATTACTGTCTCAGTCCTCCTCCAGGTAGGTCGGAGTTATGTCCCTTTGTTAAAGGTTGTCAGGCATCAGTATCAATGGGTAAATGCTCCTTATTTCCCTAGTGCAGACTGCATTGCTTCTGACTCAATTTTACCTCTAGATCTAGATGGTTAAGAAGATAATTTTGTCACAATTAACCCTTGAATTTAATTAAACTGATTGTCTTAACCATATTCTTATATTCATGTTCCTACAATTATGTATTTTCTGCATTATCTGATTTTATTCAGTATTCATATTACAGTTCGATCTGTTCTTGAATTTTCTTCTCTTTTTTTCCACCTTGTTCACTCATGCAGTTGCAAACATTTACAACTAGAAGTCCTTGAACACTGATAGTATTGACAATGATATTTCAGGACAATGCAGATCCAACAATACGAAACCTGGGGGAGTTCTCTCCCTTGGATCTTGCCGCCCAATATGGCCGCCTTGATGTTGTCAAACAGTTGATCACAACTCACCCAACGCTTGTGAACAACTTGATCTTGAACCACTCGCCACTACATCTAGCATCAAGGAGTGGACATCGCGCCATCGTCCAGTATCTGCTAGATTCTGGGTTCAGTGTCAACCTCAAGGTATGACAGCGCACATGGACAACGTTGCTCTTAGTCAGGAAATATGACATTGATATATATTAATGCTAGCCTATATTTTACCGCATGGTAGTAATGTACCTTATGTCATAGGTCTTCAGCAACCCTTGCTTGCTGTAAAAAGCGACTATGCTTGTCGTCAGAGGCGACTAATGGGATCGGGTGGTCAGGCTCGCTGACTTGGTTGATGCATGTCATCTTTACCCAATTGTGTGGATTGATGCTCATGATATTAATCACTGGATTGTGTGGTCCAGACAAGATTATTTAAAGACCACTGTCATAAAGCTGGAATATTGTTGAGAGCGGAGTTAAACAACAAACAAAACCTCCTGGCAGTAATGTACCTCCTGGCCATGCCTCATGGCAGTAATCAGGGTATGAAACTCCCAAAAATTTCAGCCAGACCACAGGACTGGCTAGCTGAAATACTTGCCAGCCCTGACCAAAACCTGCCTGCCCACTATAATCATATGTTTCTCAGGATAAGCTAAGGGGGTTTATTTTTGGTTACATTTTAACATTCATCTTTACATATGAATTAATGCTTATCATCGGGAAATATTTAGAATATTTTCACATGTGAAATATAACCCGACCGTCGGGCAGGGGGATTTGAAAATCTGGCAGCCCGAGTTGAAATCAAGCCGTCTCGGACGGTCGGGCAGGCAGGTATTTCGAACACTGCAGTAATGTACCTCCTGGCAGTAATGTACCTCCTTGCAATGCCTCCAGCAGTAATGTACCTCCTGGCAGTAATGTACCTCCTTGCAATGCCTCCTGGCAGTAATGTACCTTCTTGCAATGCCTCCTGGCAGTAATGTACCTCCTGGCAGTAATGTACCTCCTTGCAATGCCTCCTGGCAGTAATGTACCTCCTTGCAATGCCTCCTGGCAGTAATGTACCTCCTGGCAGTAATGTACCTCCTTGCAATGCCTCCTGGCAGTAATGTACCTCCTTGCAATGCCTCCTGGCAGTAATGTACCTCCTGGCAGTAATGTACCTCCTGACAATGCCTCATGGCAGTAATGTACCTCCTGGCAGTAATGTACCTCCTTGCCATGCCTCATGGCAGTAATGTACCTCCTGGCAGTAATGTACCTCCTGACAATGCCTCATGGCAGTAATGTACCTCCTGGCAGTAATGTACCTCCTGGCAGTAATGTACCTCCTGACAATGCCTCCTGGCAGTAATGTACCTCCTGGTCATGCCTCATGGCAGTAATGTACCTCCTGGCAGTAATGTACCTCCTGACAATGCCTCATGGCAGTAATGTACCTCCTGGTCATGCCTCATGGCAGTAATGTACCTCCTGACAATGCCTCCTGGCAGTAATGTACCTCCTGGCAGTAATGTACCTCCTTGCAATGCCTCTTGGCAGTAATGTACCTCCTGACAATGCCTCCTGGCAGTAATGTACAGTGATCGCTCGCTATTGCGCTACCAATGGGGTCCAAATAATTGGTGGGCGTTATAGACGATGACGTTTAACCGAGGCCGAGGCGGGGGAGCGCGCTCGGCAAATCTCAAATCATCAATAGGCCTATGTGTTTATCTCACGTCACGTCAAAATAGTATATATTTTTATGGACCTAGATCTACCTGTAATATCATTCATTTATTAAATCTGTCATATTTCACAATGTCTGAAATACGTATTCCATTCTAATTTATCATTTTTTATCAATAAATTAAAAAATTATTCACTATTTCCCACGATGTTATTGAAAATAAAATTCTCGGACACACATTTCGACAACGGGTCCGCATCGAACATGTCAAAGAGCAAAATAAAGACTATTTTAAGCAAATCTTTAAATATATTATACAAAGTGATAAATAAAATCAACAAAAATATATCTAAAAGTAATCAAACTTACATCTAAGTTATTATTTCCATCGTTTCGTGCGATCGCGTGTAATGTAAGTCAAATGACATCTCGGCTTTCGTCGCCTTGAATTCTCGGCTCGGACACAACGTTTAATGCAAAAATATATGCATGAAAAATCTTTGTCACAGCTCGTAACCTAGCACGATACATTCGCGAAGTTCCATATTTTTAATATATATCGTGATTTCCTGCTTAAAACGTTCAGAATAACACGATTTAACAAAAAATCTTTCGCTAACTTCTGAAATTTATCAAACACGAGCTTGGTATCACAGCTTGATTGGCTGCCTGAGGTCACGTGCTCAAAATTGACCAATCACGAAACTTGTAGCAGATTTCGGCAAGAAAGCGTCATTAGAAACAAATTTTAATCCAATGAAATCGCTTGTTATAACTACGGGGAAAAACAGGCGATGTTACGAAAGCGCGATTACGAAATGAATGACCGCCGTGTTGTGACAGCAACTACATGTGTGTGACAGTTTAGCCTTAAATTGGATTGCCCACTAATTAAGAATATAAACTTCGCTTGTGGTTCTCTTTTATTGCATGCATGCGCTTCTAAGATCAAAGGATGTATAGTGTGAAAAGTTAACTAGTTGAACAATCGTATTTCCGGGACTTGCCGCGGATGTTTTCAAACAGATTATTAGAACTCCATTCAGCGATAAACGATTGATTATGCAATGAGAAGCGTTATGTGCAAATGAACAACGAACAACAATACAATTATGTCTGTGTAAAACTCTCAGTAATAAAAGTGTACATAAATTTTGGGAGCCATGCGTTACCGCGCGTAATAACCGAAGTAGCGCTTTATCGAAGAGCGCAATAGCGAGCGATCACTGTACCTCCTGGCAGTAATGTACCTCCTGGCAGTAATGTACCTCCTGACAGTAATGTACCTCCTGGCAGTAATGTACCTCCTGGCAGTAATGTACCTCATGGCAGTAATGTACCTCCTGGCAGTTATGTACCTCCTGGCAGTAATGTACCTCCTGGCAGTAATGTACCTCCTGGCAGTAATGTACCTCATGGCAGTAATGTACCTCCTTGCCATGCCTCATGGCAGTAATGTACCTCATGGCAGTAATGTACCTCCTGGCAGTAATGTTCTCCAGGACTAGCCTGCCTAGGCTGTGCTTTCATGCCCATTCTATGACCTGATTTTGGGTGTAAAAGAACTAAATGTTCATCCAAGCATCCAGAACATTATTGACTTTTTCATTTAATAATGAAATTACATTTTGCATTGTTGACATGACATGTTGAATGACTTATTGTGGCTATTAAATCTCACAGCATGATTTCGCAGCATGCTTATACATGTTTCCTGTTGTGTATGTGAGAGTTTCAATTGGAAGCAGCCAGCTTGTACGTTTAATAACTAACATGAATAGGACGTAGTAAATAACACAATGAGGCACTTTATCTAACTCTAATCATGCAAACACACACTGACACAGTCCATGCCTAGCAGCTGGTGATCTAAAGTTGTTTTGAGCAGGTTTGTCAAGGCTGTAGATCGCCAGCGCTGCATGTCATTTTGAAAATAACCATTGTGTGTTTTCAGATTTGTGTTGTGTATTTGATATCCGGAAGTCTCAATTGGAACTGTGTTAAAGTGTAAAATTGCAGGGCTACAGACAAGCTGCTTAATTCCGTAAAATTACCCCCCCCCCCCCCCCTCCCAACACAGACACACACACACACAGACACACAGACACACAGACAGACACACACACACACACACACACACACACACACACACACACACACACACACACACACACACACACAATTAATATTCAAAACCCAATATTTTCAATTATCTTGTGTACAGAAATGCATGCATTAAATGGAAAACTCGCATGTAATCTGAAAATCTTAAAAAGTTTACTCATTTTGGGAAAAACCCAATAGAGTGATGAATAGATGAGTGGAAAAATCATCATTACCCAATTAAAATAGAAACCTTCGAAGAGTTATCTGGAGCTCTGATGCTGCAATATGAAAAAAAGAATGTTTGTTGACATGGTAAAATACAGAAATAGAGTAACATCCACTTTCTCTCAGATCTTGAAACTGTAAATCTTGAAATTAACGTGAGCGTGAATTAAATGCGAAAAATGCATGTGGTCTTTGTTCGCATTTATTAAACTTCGCATTTATGTCTCCAAAATACCATCAACAATCTGCACACTTTGGATATACCAACTTTAATATGTTCACAAACACGGTTTATTGAGCTGCAGTTTTAACAAGTACATAACAATGTCAATTAAAGGATAGGAATTACTCAATAGGCATCCGATGAGTTATCACTGCTGGGGTCAAGAGTTCTACCCACTCGTGTCAAACTAGGCATCATTGACCACTCCAAGTGTAACCACTGAGCTATCGTGAGTTCTTGTCATTAAACAATTTATCATATGACTAACCACGGGTCCGGGTAGTCCTGTGGGTACCCGGGTCCTACACAGGACCCACCCGACCCGAGTACCCGCGTTACCTGTCCCAGCCCTACCTCACACCACTAACAACTGTGTGTGGCTGTGTGTCTGTGTGTTCACTAACAGTGTGTTGTCTTTCAGACTGATGCTGGCACGCCATTGCATGAAGCTGCCACTTACTGTAAAACTGATGTCATCAAACTGCTGCTAGATCGAGGTAAGATGAGGTGCAGTTCAAAAGCAATCGATGTCTCACACAGTGAGGTCTGCAATTCCAGTTTATGAGTCAAAGGGAGATAACTCCCCAAGATGTCTTCACTCAAGGGTGCTAGGGAAGCTGGGTATCACATCAAGTGTAGAATAATACCACGCTGATTGGTATACAGTGATGTGTTTACTGAATTAACTTGATTTTTTTGGATTAGAGATTCATTTTGGGAGCCATGTACCATTACCAGAAAAATGTCATTTTTTAGGTCATATGCGCTGCTTGTATCTGTTGTGCAGTTTTAGATAATACAGGGCTCGAAATTACTACTGCCACCAGGCCTGCGGCACAAAATAAGAAATGGCAGGCTTTAATTATCCCCCGCCACAAAGTGGAAGGGGGATATAGATATGGGTGATTTCTGTCCGTCCTTCCGTGACGTCACGTTTTGTTACCAGAGCGTTACTCAAAAACAATGAGATATCACTACCAAACTTGGCCCATAGATAGGTCAAGTGGTGAACTGGTGCCTTTCGATAGTTTGGCATTTTTAACAAGTTTATTTTTCGAGTTTCCCTGGCAACAACTTTGACTTAGTCTGAAAATAGCGGAAGTGTTCCTTTCGGGGGCAGATCTTGAAAACCGTACAATATTTCTTTACCATACATGTCACATGGATAGGTCAAGTGGTGTCTTTTTGAAAATATTATTTTTCGAGTTTCCGTAGCAACCGTACATGCATATTGTCGGGGATATGAGTATGTCATGCTTGTTTTATGTACAGTGTTTCATGGGCATGGGCATTTTTATTACAAGTGTTTTTGTTAATATATTTTTCATATCTTGACAAAATTCATCTTTGAAAAATAAAAAGTGTTTTCAGTATTATTCGGTGAATTCTGTTGATTACATCTTACAAACGTTTGACGATATGTTCAGGATAGCATGAAATACATTTGTATGTACTCGCTTCTTTCCGTATTTTGACACATCGTGAATATTACGTAGGTCTTGTTTGAATGAAATCGTATCTTTCTGTATTTTGACGGAATTACACTAACTATATTACATCGGTGTTGCGTTTCAAATGGGAGTACCGTATTCGACTTAATAAGCACCCAGGGCGCTGTCAAAATTAGAAATAGGGGGCTCTTATTAGAATATTATTTTGGTGGGAAAAAACAGTTGAAAGATAAATTTCATGGTTATGCTGACAGCCTAAAATGTTTATGTACAACAGATATATTTTTCCAGAATGTAATTGCCCATAATTATGGGTGCATATAACACACAAGTGTGTATTATACGCAAATAAATAAGTCTTGTGTACATTGATCAATCGGAAGGGGTGCTAATTGGGATTGTTCACTAGCCAATATATCAGCAAATGTCACTTTGGGTGCTTATTAGAGCGGGGCGCTGATTACGTCGAATACGGTAGTCATTTGTGTTGACTGTTGTGATAAGCCTAGCAGACGATCACAGTTGTCAAAACAGAAGTCTGAAAAGGAAACTCCATTTTGATTTTTTGAAGCCTACTGCTGTAACTTCTATTAAAGTTACTGCAAATGAGCAAAGAAAACAGTGTAGGTTAACGAGTGCTTTTGAATAATCTTACTTTTGTTAGAATTACTCGGACATAGGAAGTAAGGCACACCTAAACTGAAAATGCCGCATCTGAAAAACAGGTCCAGTGCCCTTGGACACACCTCTCTTTTTCTAATTTCGAGCCCTGTAATATCATGAAGAACATTATTAGTTACAAACAGACAAACGTTTTTCTTCTAACCCTAAAAGCGTGAATCCTAACTGTATAGAATTATACAGGCCGATATGCATGTAGGGATTGAGAATGCAATGTGTTCCTGTGTGATACTAATGGCATGGTAGAGTTGAAGGGATAGAAATTAACCAAGAACATTTCTACCCCCAAATGTTTCAAATTCTACTAGCCCTGAGGATACCAAACTGGTCAGGGCTAATGAGTTCTGGGCTAATGAATTCTATCCCTGACCTGGACAATACCTTGTATTGTCAATGTATGCGAATATGGAGTGTCACAAGATGTGTTGCGGTACTTTCTAAGATTTGAAAAAAAAATGAATTTGTCACATCTGTTTTGTGGTTTCGATGCTATTACCCTGAAACATCACTCATAAACAAATTTGATACACAAAGGTGAATACAACTTTCTTTTTTTTTATAAATTCATGAAAATGGAAGTATGTCTTTGTCACCACGGAGATCTGCATCCCTGGCAGCTCCTCTCCAGGTCATGGTCTGAGCTTCAGTGATGTTTTACATGTTTATGTTTTTCATGTGCTGTCAACTCTTGAAGAAAGTTCACTCAGTCAATGAGATGTACACAAACCCATCTTGATAAAACTTGGCATGCGTGTGTGTTGCAGGTGTCATGGTGGACGAGCAAGACGTACGAGGACTCACCCCGGCGGACATCCTCAAGTCCCTGCCCTCACAGAAGGCGCATGAGGCTACGAAACTCATCAATGGTGAGTGGAGTATGAGTGGGTAACGGTTATATCAATAACGATTTGTTGATATTTGAGCTGTCTAAAAAAATTGGTAATTGGAAGTATCATTAATGAGTGAGTGAGTGAGTTTGGTTTTACGCCGCTTTTAGCAATATTCCAGCAATATCACGGCGGGGGACACCAGAAATGGGCTTCACACATTGTACCCATGTTGGGAATCGAACCCGGGTCCTCGGCGTGGTGAGCGAATGCTTTAACCACTAGGCTACCCGACCGCCCCGTATCATTAATGGGAAGAAATATTAAGGATTATCGATATAAAAATTGCTTTGTCGATAATATCTTACATGAATTATTGTGATGAGATAAAGTTTAAATTTACCAAACAGACTTGTTATTAGCTATCATGTCAATTGCCAAAAATGGAAAGCAACTGTTTGTGTTATAACTTAAATATCCACAGAGTAATCCAGTGGCATAATGTATGTTGATTTATTTCAGACTTTTTTTCATACTTGCTCAAAACTACTTCTCCAATATTTATCGATAATTGATTGATATTTAGTTAACAAGTATTGATCTCTTTGATCTGTATCGATAGCCAGCCCTAGTTGATATTATATTTCCGAAGACAGATGGTAGACGTAGTTTTTGGTTGGAGGTCCGGCGTATGTACGGCACTTAACATTTTGATACAGATTTCAAGGACCAAGTTAATACATCGACTTAACTATGAGATCGGCTTATCTACCGTCATTTACGGTATGTCAGTAGCGGGGTGTACATTATTTTTCAAGCTAGAGTTAGTGAGTTACAATTTAATGTCGCATCAGCATTTTTTCAGCCATATAGCGACTTTTGCAAGCTAAGTGATAATTTACATGACAATCCCCCCAAATTATGTACACATTGACACATATAACAAGTTCATCATTAAGAGTCCACATGTTACAAAGAATTATTTTTGTTGTGTGAGATCTCTCTACCAACGTTTAGTGTGGTGACAACAGGGTCAATTGAGAGGTGACAAGCAAGTGACGTCACTAAGCTATTATGATGTCATGATTTCTGTACAAGCCGGCCAGACGATGTTTGGGTTTTTGCATGACGAGACCGGCCAATCACGTTGCTAGATTACTTAATGCGTAAATATAAAGTTACCATACAAGGACAATCTCATTAAAATCAGACCTTAGTTCTAGCTACCGCTTAACAATGATCTGAAGACATCCCAGTAGAGGTCACGTCAAAACGACCTTTCATCCGACCAATCAGTGCGTCGCTTACCAGATGATGAAAGTGACAGTCGGAATGTGATTTCTAATCATGCAGTCTTGAAAACTTTAACGACTGAATCCTTCCAATCTAGACCATCTGCTAGCCATTCCAGAATGTTTTTTGTTCCGGTTTCAAAATTGTAATCGAGAATTTGTCAAAATATGTTTCTAAGCGTAGACACCAATTTGAAATTTGTGCCGTAAAGCACGAGAAAGCTGCTTTCTGATTGGTCATTCCATTGGCTGGGCAAAGTTCGCGCAAGGTCGGTCTGACGTGACCCGTAATGGGATGTCTTCAGATCTTTGTTTAGCGGTAGCGAGAACTAAGATCTGATTTTAATGAGATTGCATACAAGGACACATGACTAGCTAAAATGATAACCACTCCACTTCGGCATCACTTGTTAGCTTGTGCATGAATGTCGGAGTGAATGAGTGAGTGAGTATGGTTTTACGCCGTTTTTAGCAATATTCCAGCAATATCACAGCAGGGGACACCAGAAATGGGCTTAACTCATTGTACCCATGCTAGGAATCGAACCCGGGTCTTCGGCGTGATGAGCGAACGCTTTACCCACTTTGCTACCCGACAACACCCATGAATGCCTGAAAGCGTGTTCAAAACCCAATTCACTCACTCACTTCATTAACTGATGGGTCATTTATGTCTTGACAGAGTTATGTCCCTTTGATTTATTCATGATGATAACTTGTCCACACAGATCACATCAAAGGCTTGACCAAAGTAGTCCTGCAGGACAGGACGCCATCAGAAGATGAGTACGACTTCAGCCCCGAGGACGTCTCTGTCCCAGTCCCCGAGCCATCCCCCCCAGTCCAGGACAGTGACCCCATCGCACAGATGTATGCCAAGGTCAACAAGGACAACAGAGAGAAGGCAGCAGCACTGAGGCAGAAAAGGTGACCAGTAGCATCAGAGGCAATGTGTATATGTAACTGTCCTGAAGACAGGACCCCTCTCATGGTTCTAACGGGGGCCTTGGGTACGCCAGAATTCTATGATTGTGGGTTCGAATCATGGTTCTACCGGGGGGCACGGGTGGCCCAGTCGTCTAAGGCGCCGCAATTTGCTGTGCAGAGTTAAGTCCCTTGGGTACGCCTGAATTCTATGATTGTGGGTTCAATCCCGGTCAGCCCCGATTATGTTTCTAGGTTTGTCAGCACCATACCCTTGCTCGTGGGTTTCACCGAAGTGATAAACGTCTGAGACCTGCATCACTTCGGGCTTTCCTCCCACATTAAGCTGACACGCCGTGATATAACTGGAATACTGTTAAAAGCGGCGTTAAACCCAACTCACTCACTCACTCATGGTTCTACCCCAAGGTCAGAGCCAACACTGGAATCTAGATGCTCTAATGTATCGCCACATGAAAGAGGGTGATTTTTGGAGCAGGACACTTTTGTGTGTTTTTGCTTTTGTTTCTTCATTCCAGCAATATATACAGAAAAAGCATGGCATGTGAGGAGCAGGATACTCACACGGTCACATCTTTGGTTTGGAGTCATGAAAAAAAGCGTGTCACGGATGGCATAGTTCCGTAAATAAAATTAACATTTGATGCCAAGTGAAAGGATGTTTATAAATCTTTGGTGATGTAACACTCACCTGTAACTTCTCTGAGAGGCATTTAGAAGTTGGAGTACTAAGTAAGGATAAGATATATGGATGAACAACTTCTTTATTTCAATTAGGAGCGCTGTTTTGGTGTAGGTTTTAAAACCGTTATCAAGCAAGTGATGTACAGATTATGGTCTAGCCTACACCAAAACGTCGCTCCTAATTGTAATAAAGAAGTTGTCCAAAAATCTTATCCTTACCTAGTCCACAGAATGGAAGAGCAAATCACTGATATGGTTCTCTTTGGTAAATGAAGTTGCCTTCTCCAACGAGAGGAGATCTTCACTCATCTTCCATCATCAAAACATCTGTTGACCTTTTGTTGCTTTACCTTAACAGTTTTACAGCATTAACTCTTTCATCCCTGGCTGCCCCAGAGTTATGTCCCTTGAAACACTGCAGTCCCTCACACTGACAGGCCTGCACATTGGGCAGTCGGGGCCAAAGGGTTAACAAATGCATCCTGTTTGAACTATATATATGTATTCTCCTGCTTCAGCCCTGTGAGCCCCGATGTATCACCACCCCCCATCCCACCCCGAGCGCCCTCTATCCGCTGTTCCCGGAACCCTGTGGAAGCAGCACGGCGGTCGCCACCGGTTACAAGTTGCCCGGCAACAGGCAGCTCCATGACAGCAGCAGAAGCTGGTGCTAAGGTACTGCAAGCTGTTGTGTACATTGATGCTCAATGGAAGTTTGAATGCTTTGGCCGTGAAAACAAAACTGTGTCTCATTTTCAAATGACCAAGTCCCAAGGTTATTTCCTTGGTCTCTCACTTGTAGTGTACTCATTGTAAGCACTGAACACTCTTCCATGCACTCTTTACACTTTGTCAAATAAAACTGACAGACCTCGAATACTCTCGACACCCGCAAATCTGAAAGCACTTAATGTTTATCTCTTAATTGCGCGGGGGCACGGGTGGCCCATTCGTCTAAGTTGCTGTAATTCGCTATTAGCACCATAACCATACTCGTTTCACCAAAGCGTTGGAGACCTGCATCACTTCGGGCTTTCCTCCCACTTTAAGCTGACAAGCTGTGATAACTGGAATACTGTTAAAAGTGGCGTTTAACCCATCTCACCCACTCCAAATTGTACCAGTCACTGTACACAGTGTCCCCTTTCAAGTGGACCTGTGAAGATCCGGGGTAGAATAGGTCTTCAGCAACCCATGCTTTACCGTAAAAGGTGACTATGCTTGACGTAAAAGGCGACTAACGGGATCGGGTGGTCAGGCTCGCTGACTTGGTTGATGCATGTCATCGATACCAATTGCGTGGATCGATGATCATGATATTAATCACTGGATTGTCTGGTCCAGACTCGATTATTTCAAGACAGCCGTCATATAGCTGGAATATTGCTGAGTGCAGCGTTAAACAACAAACCAACCAACCAACCAACCCTCACAAGTGGTTAAATCCAACTCAGTCACTCACTCACTGGTGTGTATGTTCTGTGCAGGAGCAGCCGAAGAAGCCGCCCCGTCGGCGCCCCACCCGACTCAGCCAGTCCAGCCAGCAGATGGAATCTCAGGAACCCAGTCAGGAGGCCGACGATCGCAGCGTGGATACAGATGACACCGTGTCAAGTCATCGCGAGGAGACTGACGGCAGCGAAGACTGTAGCGCTATGAAGTCTGCTACCTCCACTGCACCAAAAGACCAGCCCAAACTCCCAAGTCCTGTGTACTGTAATGTTCCGCCAAAATCGGAGTCTGTGAAATCCGAACTTACGATAACCGAAGATCAGCAGAGACAGAATGAGATAAATACACAGGGAGAGCCTGTGGAAACTTCACAAATAACAGAAGCTCAACCCCTTCCCTCACCAAATGTGATTCATAGTGATAAGGGAGATAACTCTGTTCAGCCAGAGAGTTCCTCCGAGATCACAAGTGACTCTATCGATGTCTCGAATAACACAGATGTATTTAGTTCGGATGATTGGTCTCGGAGTGAAGTGTCTGCGATCGAGAAAGAAAAGACGGATCATTCTGAGGATTTCTCCACGGCCACATCTGATGATGGACTCTCAACTTCAAGTGTCTCTGTTATTGGTAGGTAGCCCTTAAGGCTCGGCTTGGTTTGGTTGAAACATATTTTTATTCATAGTAAATGGGATTGGAAACAAGTTGAACAACTTAAAATGCCATCTTCACATACATGCTCGGTATTTGTAAAGTACCATTTTGTTTCACTGGATTATGAGAAACATGCTCATAAACTTATGTAACATTTCATTTTTGTTCCAAGCATCTTACCGTCTTGGAGATACACTGTTTGTAGTTCAATTTTCAGATAACCAAAGCCATGAAATAGCTTTTTGAATACCATTTTCTTGACGTAGAGTTAATTTTGAATAGTAATAAAACCAAAATAAGTTTGTGTGTTTGTTTATGCCACTGTCTGGAGATCAATATTAATATACATGTATCTTGGTTTTGTAAAATTCAATGAATCATTATCAGGCTGTGAAGAACCCTTTTACTTGATTATTTCAATGTGCTGATGTGTAGGAATACATGAAAGGTAACATTTATGCTGAAATCTTCAGGTAAACATTTTGGTAAATTTGACTTTTTTTTAATATTTGCCTGACTCCAGTGTTTGATTATTTGTGCAGGAGCTTTCGATGGAAGTGATCGTGTTCAGAAGCCAAGTTCACTAGAGTTTGAGAATAAAAGGACCAGTCGGTCCAGTGTGGATGTACCCCTGTCCCCCACCGGCTACGTTCAGCCCCCCACGCCGGACTACCCCCCACCCTCACCAAGCACAGCTGTGCAGGGCATCACACAGAAGATCAACCCCCAGGTAAGGCTGACAGAGCACTGTATCATGTAGGGCCCGAGGTCACTACCCCCCCCACCCCCCCACCCTCACCAAGCACAGCCATGCAGGGCATGACACAGAAGATCAACCCCCAGGTAAGGCTGACAGAGCACTGTATCATGTAGGGCCCGAGGTCACTACCCCCCCCCACCCCCCCACCCTCACCAAGCACAGCCATGCAGGGCATGACACAGAAGATCAACCCCCAGGTAAGGCTGACAGAGCACTGTATCATGTAGGGCCCGAGGTCACTACCCCCCCACCCCCCCCCACCCTCACCCTCACCAAGCACAGCCATGCAGGGCATGACACAGAAGATCAACCCCCAGGTAAGGCTGACAGAGCACTGTATCATGTAGGGCCCTGGGGCACTACCCCCCACCCTCACCAAGCACAGCCGTGCAGGGAATCACACAGAAGATCAACCCCCAGGTAAGGCTGACAGAGCACTGTATCATGTAGGGCCCTAGCTCATACAGTGTTACGACGTACTGTATAGGGTTGGATAGTTATATGTCATTAGGGTTACATACCATATATCGCTGTGTATAAGGCAAGTTTTTCGTACCTCGAAGTAGGGGGCTTTCAAGGGGGATCGTCTTATACACAGGGTTGAAGAGTTTTGATGTTTTTCCCCCCAACACAGACATAACTGTGAGCATGTAACCCGGGAAATACCATGTCAGCAAATCCGTAATGAAGTACGCAAACTAATCATGTAATTACACTGTCTGGTTGGAAAAACAGTTCATTATATATCTGGACTTACATTTGTAATCTATTTTATTAATTTAATTTCATTCAATATTTTTTATTTTCCTTTCCGCAATATCATATGTGAAGTGATCGGAAGATCGCACAACTCACCATTAGTTACAGCAACCACAGTCATTTTACTAGATTGATGACTTGAAACGAACTTTAGTGGATAGAGAATAGATATACTTGTATGTATCATAAATGCCATACTTTGACTCACTGAAAGTATTTGTTGTAGTTTGACTATTATTTGTCAACATAGGCATCAGCAGCAATCAAATTGTTCATACGAAAAAAATAGCGATCAGCTGTACCAAAGTGCTAGGCTTATGGTTATTACTTTTTTTCAAATATATATAGTAAAATACTACTAAAAGAACATGAGATTGGAATAAATTATTCTGAATAAAATAATAGTTTCAGATTCAGTTCTTTCAATTATTGTATCAAAAGTCTTTAAAGTTATATTATTGGGTAATTATTAACCAAATCACCGGTATATTCCGAGAAATGTGTGCACAGCTGATTGCTACTTCCAGCTTAGTTTACAAGAAAATACACACGGTAATCTTAATCTCTGCATATAAAACAATACCTATCAGAAGAGGAAATACAATTTTATCAGTAAATGATCATGTCTAGTGTTTTTTTTATCTCAACTTTTAAATTTGTATTTGTACCAAGTATAATTGTTATGATCTGTTCGTTTCCCTTCAGCGATCAGGGAAACGATGTAATTTTTTTCTGTGGAAGACAAACATGTTTTTATTGCAAATGTAGGGATTGTGTATGCACTGGTGACGTGCTTCATTCTGATTTGGGGCGGTCGGGTAGCCTAATGGTTAAAGCGTTCGCTCGACACGCCGAAGACCTGGGTTCGATTCCCGACATGGGTACAATGTGTGAAACCCATTTCGGGTGTCCCCGGCCGTGATATTGCTGGAATATTGCTAAAAGCGGCGTAAAACCATACTCACTCATTCCGATTTGCTTTATAGACAGGGTATATAAATTCGCCTAAATTTTAGAGGCTTGTGCAGGGGGGTGGTCTTATATGTGGGGTTGCTTTATAGTCAAACACTGCTGTATTTACAAAAAACATTTTCCCTGCAGTGTTTTATTGTAGGATAAACAACAAGTCGTTTATTTCTCATATGAGATATTAGCATTGTGTACAGCCCCTGTAAAGATGTTAGTAAAAAGTACACACTTTAAAAATATTTACCCATATTTAAATAATGATGACTCCCTGAATAGAATCCGACTGCGGCAATGTCGGACAAGTCAATTCTATGATCAGGGTTTGGTCTTTCTTGCATATTCTCACAATTTTCACGTCAATTATCTGTACCTTTTCTCTTGATACCGATTGTCATGTCTCTCTCAATTTTGGATGCGATCGTTCAGCTACAGCGCTTATCTACATTGCCCAGCAACATCTATGGGGAATAATTCACATGACACTTCCCTCTAAAAAATAACGTCGTCTAATTTACAACGTCATCAAGTTGCGAGCGCATGTTCAAATCACCAGAAATGACAACTTGATAGAACAATGTTTTATCATGAAATAAACCATACTTCGTTCTTCAATGTTCTTTGCGATCTATCACGTAGCTATCTCATATCGGGTTTTATATATAACTATGTAGGGATATATAGGATCACAGTGCTGTATAGTGTCATATTGCTCTATTTAAGAAATAAACGATGAATGGGAGTTTTTTATCGTGCAATAAAATAAAACACTGCAGGGAAAGTTTTTGGTCACGATCTCAAAATAGTGAATTAACAGAACTTGTGTGTTCCAGGAAAAGAGAAAATCCAAAGACATGGAGACCCTTACAGAAGCTTCCATACTTGCCAGTCTCCAAAACAAGCCAGTGAAGCCACCAGTGAAACCTCCAGTGAAGGCGCCAGTGAAACCTCCAGTGAAGCCTCCAGTGAAGCCTCCAGTGAAGGCGCCAGTGAAGGCGCCAGTGAAGGCGCCAGTGAAACTTCCCCCTGACAATAACAACATCGTGGCTGCAGACAGTGGCCCCATAGTAGAAGATGGGGAGGAGGTCACAGACGCCATGCAGCCTCCGCCCAGAGTGGAGCGCATCACCTCCAAGGTTCTGGAGACTGTCATCGAGCGAGTCGAGGAGCCGAATCAATCCGGGAGTAATGGAGAGATTACCACAAACACGCAACAACTCACGGAACATGTACAGCTACGGCGAAGGATTAGTTCCGAGAGTGCCAGTGATGCAGACACCGAGACTAGCATATTTGCAGGTAGGACAAAATATTATGTTTTTTGTTTTTGCATCTCCTTTGGTTTGATGATTTTTCTTCCAGGGATTGTCGAAGAATTGTCTTTGTCCATGATACTGTTCCACAAAGTGATCTTAGCGCTAAGACAGTCGTAACTGCCCTACTTTAACATGGAGTTGCAACAGTCTTAGAGCTGAGATGGCTTTGTGCAACCAGGCCCAGACATGTTTTGATGTGATAGTGGAATTTGAAACCGTTAATGACTAGGCTGGAGTAATGCATACAGACCAGGGGAGATAAGTGTCGTGTTTTTCATGAGACACAACATGGTGACAAGAATCTGAGATATTGGCTAAAGAGTATGATAAATCTTAGGCATTAAGATATTTCTCCTTTGCTCATGTTTTCGTTGTTAGAATTACGAGCTATGGGAAAGTCAAGGCATGTAGCTTCCAGCTGTTTAATTCCCAGAAATATAATATTCTGCTGTTATCAAAAAAGCAATTTGACCTCAGATGCAATTTTCTAAAGTCATGTTTGTATTAGGATGATACAAATTGGTTTCTATTTTCACTTTTCTGAAGCCATCACTTTATTTGGTGCTGATAGCTATTAATTTTGTTTCAAGGATATATCACATGGAATTTGAAAGTACATCATTTCAGAAACAGTGAAAAAGCAATCAGTTTTAGAGGATATATCATTATATTGAACAATTTTGATTCTCTTACTTTGAGATGTTGGTGTGACAAACAAGAGCAAATTTTCTTTTACAATTGAGGCCAGTTTCAGTATAGTTCCTAACACCTTTGACAAGCAATACTCTTGCACATGCATGTGCTCATGATCTAAGCTTTTCTCGATTGACAAAAACCTGAAATGATTCCCATGTTTAAGGACATGAAAGAACATTTTGAACTATTTTTTACAAGGTGCATTGGGAAAACAGGCATCAAGACAAACTGTATCGTTGCAAAATACGAAGAAATTTAATTTAGAGTTATCTCCCTTATATGGGTCACTGCAAAATGTCAACACTCTTTTCTCAAACCCTTCAAATAAGAAGCAAAATTCAACCACACGAATACGAAGAATCAAGAGCTTCTTTCAACATCTCAGAGCTATGACCTTCAGTCGTATGTTAAACTGTTTGACCAGCGCCAATAAGTTATTCGCCATTCTTACCCATTCTGAAGCTATCACTTTATAAAGGCATCTGTTTCATTCTGTGTTGTTACTCAGGCCTGTCCAGAAGCGCTCCATGTAAGTGCCCCTCCATGCATGCCTTGATATTTCTTCATAGTCTTGTATTATTCTAGACAATCATTCACTTCCCATTAAGTGGTATCTATATCTATATGAGCATCTCACATCTATAGTTTTCGTGTTGTGCAACTGTTATCACACATCATCATCCGTATCTCATTGTCATTGGATATTGTTTGACCTTATTGTCCTCTGTCCTCATCAGGGCCGTCCTGTGGGATTGGATATTGTGTGACGTTATTGTCCTTGGGGATTGGATATTGTGTGACCTTATTGTCCTCAGTCCTCATCAGGGTCGTCCTCGGGGATTGGATATTGTTTGACCTTATTGTCCTCAGTCCTCATCAGGGCCGTCCTGTGGAATTGGATATTGTGTGACCTTATTGTCCTCAGTCCTCATCAGGGCCGTCCTGGGGGATTGGATATTGTGTGACGTTATTGTTCTCAGTCCTCATCAGGGTCGTCCTTGGGGATTGGATATTGTGTGACCTTATTGTCCTCAGTCTCTCATCAAGGCTGTCCTGGGGGATTGGATATTGTGTGACCTTATTGTCCTCAGTCCTCATCAGGGCCGTCCTTGGGGATTTTGGCCTAGAATTGGCCGCAGGGTGGTTGTCATTTTGGGTACTACAGTATGTACAAGCTTGTTTGTATGCTGATTGGTTAAAACATTTTTTAAGTTACATTTCAGTATTCAGAAAGGTACGTGGGATATATATATATATCTGTAGAACCTTGTAAGACAACAATAACTCCAGTACTCTAGACACAAACTATCAAAATGTCGGTCAAGTTCAGTGGAGTTTTCTACCACCAAGTGTTGTTTATGTTTTCACAAAGACTTAGCATTAGTACTCAGATGAATGCAGTTATGACCAAGCCAACTTAGTACGCTGAACATAATATGTCTGGCTGGATGGATTCAAACAACAATTTTGTTGCAATACACAAGACTGTAATGTGATACATATCATGATAGCTGTTGTATCATAAATCTTCTATTTTATGTGGCGCAGTGGGGTAGCCTAGTGGTTAAAGTGTTTGCTCGTCACACCAAAGACCTGGGTTCGATTCCCCACATGGGTAATATGTGTGAAGCCCATTTCTGGTGTCCCCTGCCACGATATTGCTGGAATATTGCTAAAAGCGGCGTAAAACAATACTTGCTCTATTTTATATAATAGTAAATTCAAAGGCATCATTCCAGGGAGATTCTCAACGGAAGTTGATATATTAATAAAACAGTGCACCTTAACCTTACCATTTTCATTCTTAGCAACTTTCCACATGGAAAATGTGACCATCGCCATATTGGGCCAAGAGTGTTTCCCAATTGTGGTCGACAGAATTTGTTTGAAATTATGTGACTGCACCTAACAGAGCTTATGACGAAGTAACCGTTATTTTATTGTTATGGGAATATTTCAAAATTTGATATTTCAGATGACTCAATGTTACACTGTCGTGATTTGTATTCTTGAAATTAATATCGGTAATACTGTACACCCTTACCGACCAAATGAAAGTTTTTTTCTTTCAAAATGTTTTCAGCCCACATATTGCCTTACATGACTATAAATGAATAATACTTGTTTATGCATTTCAGTGTTTTAGATCCCAGTACGTTGTACAGATTGTGATAGTGTATGTTTTGTTGTATGAGCTTTATCATCTCCTCCTCGTGTGTCGGTGTGTATTCATCATGTATTTTACTTATGACATGTACAGTGCCCCGTACAGTGCCCCGTACAGTGCAGTGAGGTCTGTCTCCATTGTCACTATGGCTGTGCAGTTTGTGTGTAAGCACCAACATCATCTGTGTGGTTTAAAACGACATTTATCCCTGGCTGTGTCAACCAATAGTCATGTCATGTCACATTGTTGCCATGGTTACTTACTCGTTATTTATGATGTGGTAAATAATTGAACTGTTTGAAGGCTTGTTGTCTCAGACATCAAATTACCAAGTATTTGCTTTCAACAGTTGTAGAAACTAACATTTTTGTTCCACTAGTCCTTTAAATGATAACACAGCAAAACCCTTAAAATGTCAAATTTATACTGGTCCTTATGATACCAATTGGGCAGTTTGGCAAGGACTACAGGACCAATTTCTAACGCTGTACAATCTAGTCAATATAATGCAACTGATATATCTCCTTACAAGTGTGAATAGATAAACATATGAAAAGAGGAAGGGGTACCGTATATGACAGCGGATAAGCCGAATTTTGAGGACCAGAAAAAAGAGTCATATAATTTTCTTTCGTGTTTCAATGGTCAAGTTAACACCTCACTTATCTACGGGGTCGGCTTATCCGGGGTCATATACGGTATGTGTTGGTCTCGGGTAACTCGGGTACTCAGGTTGGGTGGGTACTGAGTAGAACAGAACCCACAGAACTACCCGGACCCTTGGTTAATCACATGATATATTGTTGAATGACAAAAAAGATCTAGAACTCTATAGTTACACTATAAGTGACTGATGTTCGCATTCCTTCTGACGTCATATGTTTGCATAAAGATAAAACTTCAGTCAACTTCAGTGTATGCATGACCAGATCGTTTTATACGAGTATCTAAATACATTTTGCAAGGGCTACCGTCAAACTATTCCCAGTCGGACGTTTGGACCTATCTCTTGAGACCTACAGTGGGTACCCGGTAGGATCAGGTAATAGGGAGGGTGGGTACCCAGGTAGTAAATTTGGACTTGTCTGGGTCCCCAGGTAGTAAATTTGGACTTGTCTCAGCCCGAGTTGGTCTATATCTCTCTTCTGTTTCTGTTCTACAAAGACAAATTGAGAGTCTATCACATCCACTGATCCACAAGTCCTCAGTATTGAGATAGCAGCCTGTCAGCAATGCCCTGTGTGGCTATCTCAATGATGGCTGTTACTATACAAGAGACAAGCTACATTTTGTTGACAGTCAAGAGATTTTGATCAAATGCAGCTTATAATGGAGGGACTAGGGGGGAGGATTTTATACAGAGACTATTCAGTCACATTTTTGTTCAGGGATAATGTAAAGTATTGTCTCTATAAGAAGATATTGCCTCCTAGAATCTGTTAACACCATCAGAATTTCAATATGGTTACTTAAGACACGAACAGGATCAATTATGACAAGTATCTGATGTCATCAAACGTTACGGGCTGGCTAACAGACTTGTTTGGATTTTCAACACTGCACATTTATCAAATTAGATGCTGTGAAGAGTAGTGATAAACATTTTTCTCAGCTTCAGTGGAATAATCCCTATATACCGCTATGAATCTCATACAGTAAACTGGGGTTATAACAAACTCAAAGGGACCGCTGATTTTAGTTCATTATGACCGTAGTCGCAATGGACAGGACCAAAAAACAGTTTGTTATAGACGTCAGTTCGTTATTAGCATGTTCGTTATAAACAGAGTTTACTGTAATTGCAACATTCATACCAGACACTTTGGCCACCATGGAAAATAACAGTGATAATGACATGTCCTGGAAATGAAAATAAATTGAAGGTGAGTATAACTGATCAGTGATATATGTGTCCTGATCTCAGGATGGGTGTGCAAGGTAAGTGAGGAGTCTTTGCATGCAATAAGGAGTACATTTCAAGATGTAATAAGGAGTACACTTCAAGATGTAATAAGGAGTACATTTCAAGACGTAATAAGGAGCACATTTCAAGACGTAATAAGGAGTACATTTCAAGATGTAATAAGGAGTACACTTCAAGATGTAAAAAGGAGTACATT